CTCGCACGACGCCTACATGACGGGCTGAGAAAGAGCAGAGCGGGCCCGACTGTCAGGGGCGGGCCTGGCTGCAGAGCGGGACCTTAGCGCTCCCGTGTGGACGTAAATGATCTCACAGAACACCACAGCGGAGAAGGTCACGCCAACCATGATGTCGAGACAAAAACAAGACCACTTGGAAATCATATCTGGACACAAAAACATGATCGTGGTCTAACCTTCAGTTTCAATGTTCTCTCTTCAAAACGGCTTTCTTCTTAAAGTGCAGCTTAGCATAGGGGCAAAAAATATGGACCCTAGGACCAGACTGCCTTGATTGACTCCTGACTCCACTACTTAATACTCTATCACCTTGGGCGAGTCCTGACCTCAGTGTCTAAGTGTTGCCATCTTTAAATAACTACATACTTATATGCAAAGTGATTACATTAGCGTCTAAATCAAACTCAAGAACTGTTAGCTGTTTTACCTAAGAATAGAGTTTTAACCTTTTTAAACCACCCTTTCTTAGTGGGGTCCCCTGACCCAGATAATTCCCTACCAGAGGATCCTTCTGTTTCCTTCACAGGGTCTTTTTTATTTTCTTCCTAGCACTTTTCTAAACTTGTAATTTACATAATAACCTGTTTGGCAGCTGTCTCTCCCACTAGGATATAAGTTTTATAAGAGAAAGGACTATTGTCTTTTGTTTTATACCAAATACCCAACTCCTAGCACAGTTCCTGGGCCACGGAAGACACTATATTTCTGGAACGAATGGCCATCATCTGAATGTACTGTGCACAGCATTTTTGTCCAATGGGAATATAAGGTTGTTTGTTCCTCTGCACAATTAACAAGAAAGTTCAAGTCTTAACATTATTTTTGGAAATGGCAGAGACAATAGCAAGGTTAGAAAACAAATCTTTATGTTGCAGTAAGCTCATTTTTAGAACTTGCAAACAAATGTAAGAGGCCAACAAGATTTTTTAGTATATTCAAACGCTTTTACCAAAGGCCAAATGGTTAGTAGATGCCCGCTATTCACCTTTCCCCCTTAAATACTACACCAAAGCAACGACAGTGACCATGTAGCCCAACACCAATTTCTGTACCCTCGATGCGACACAGTAAATTCTGAAATGTGGCCTCTCCCTTGGTCCTAACTCCAGCCTCCTCTTTGAGTTTCACTGATGTCTCTAGCAACACTGACCCCACATCGGTTCCCAGAACCCTTCCTGACGTTGACACTCCCGGGCCTGGGTGGCGGTCCTTGCCACCTCCACAAGCTTTTCTCCACACAGCAGCCACAGTGATCCTTCTAAATCACTCTCGTTATGGCCATGCTATGCTCGACACTTCCCGACAGTTCCCCTCTCACTCAAAATGAAATCCCAGATCCTCGCCATGGCCTCCGAGGCCCTGCGTGATCTAGCCCACCTCCTCCGCCTCCCTCAGCTCAGCTCCTAACAGTCTTTCTCCTACATTTTGCTCAGGCCACACTGGGTTTCTGTTCAGAAGCCGCCTGATCAGAGCTTCCCTAACAGCTGTGTATGAACAGCCAGCACCCCCAGCATCATTCCCCATTCCATAACCCTGCTCTAGTCTTCCATGTGGCACTTCCTGTCAGTAGAGACATCATTTAATTAGTTAGTTCCTTTTGTCTGCATCCTCATTCTCTGCCCCAACTCAAAAATGTAACTCAACGATACTCAGCCATTAAAAAAAATGAGATCTTACTATTTGCAACGACATGGATGGACCTAGAGGTTATTTGTGCTGAGTGAAATAAGTCAGATGGAGAAAGATAAATGCCATATGATTTCACTTATATGTGGAATCTAAGGAACAACGAACAAACTAAATGAAAGACTCACAAATATAGTGGACAATTTGGTGATGGACAGAGGGGGGCGGTTGGGGACTGGGAGAACGGGGTGAAGGGTTACAGGAGTACAATTTAGTAGTTGATAGTTGGTCACAGGGATGGGGAGCACTTTTAAAAAAATCCTCAAAAAAAGTTATGTTACTTGAGCCAGTAACTTCATTCTAAGAATCAACTCTAAAAACACAGGAAACATGGACAAAGATTTTAAATACAATACAATTTTATTCATAAGAACAAAAAACTTAGAGATGGAGGGACTACTTAAATTATGAGATATTCACACAATGGAATACTACAGTCATCATAATGTCTCCAAAATATGTACTGACAGAAAAGTGCTGGTGATATATTAACTGGGAGAAAATTTTAACTAAAAAACTGTATAAATGGCATCTCAACTCTTTAAAATATATGCATTTTAAATACTGAAATGACATGTAACTTTTATTTTCTTTAGAACCTTTACTTTCTAATTTTCTAAAATGTGATACTTTTACCATTGGAAACCAGTGAGAGATTTGTATTAACAGTCATCAGCGACATCCAACAACTCCATTTCTTCCCACTTCTTACGGGATCGAGTCTAACACCTCAGAAAGGCACCCGGATGTGGCCTCCCCTACCTCCCTTGTACCAGCCCCACTCCATCCCAGAGCCCAGCCCAGCAGAAGCCCTCGGAGTTGCCCCCACCTGCCCCGCTGCTCCACACGTCTCTGCTCACTGTGCTGTCTCCACTGTGACCATCACTCCCATGTTCATTCTGCCGAAGCATCTCCTTCTCTCTCCAGAGAACAAGTTACCATTTTCTGTCCAATTTACATCCTAACGTGAGATCAGCCAACTCCAGTCTCAGCGCTCTAGTTTTGGGTCTTCACCATCTACACCAATTAAGACTCCTAACAGGGCAAGAGACAAACTTAACGAAGCTTATGCAAAGCAAAATTTATTTTAAGGATACTGGTTTATTTCCCACACCATAGTGTGGGAAAGTTGGGTGCCACCGGGCCTCAAATGCCAGTAGAATTCTCATTCTCTGTTGGCTTCATCTACTTTCATCAGAGATCAGCTTTTACACAAATGGGAATATGGCTTCCAGCGACGATCTAGCCCCGAATCCAATAGTTTCTACAACTAGAGGAAGCAGACTATTCTCTGTTCCCAAATCCAAAAGTCCCAGCAAAGGGCTCTGACTGCCCATATTGTGTTAGGTGCTAACCTAGAACCAATCAACTACAGTCGCAGGGCTGGGAGGGCATTACAAGGTCCCATCGTGCTGGCTCTGCTTCCAGGACAGCGGAAACTGCTGCGGTCCAGGTACCTGTCCTGAATATGTCTCCCGCACCATCTCTCACCTGGGTCAACACGACAGTCTCCCAGCCCGTGTTTCCTCCCTCCTGTCCCCCCGCACCCCCACCCCCCGCCTCCAAATCAGCTGCCACACTGAAGCAAGTTTAGCCTGAATTAATATGATGGCTAGGTGGAGGGCCAGGGGACGGAGGGATCAATTGGGGGGATTGTTTTATGAACTATATAGATTCTAAACAATGTACTGTATACTTGAAACTAATTTACACAATTTTTTTAATGTAACTCAACAAGAGTGATGACTATCTGTTTTGTTCGCTAATGAATCTCCAGCACTTAGGACAGTGTCTAACGAACAGAAGACACCCACCACCTCAGAACGAATGCGCAAGCCTATCCTGATGCAACTGCCCGAGAAGCCTGACCCGGCTTTAACTTTTAACAAACCAGAACGTGCCTTCAAAATCCATCTCAGAGGTCACCTCCTCTGAGGCCCCCTCCTTCCTTCTCCCCTCCATGTTCTCATGCCCTGGACAGTTTCACCTAGTACACCTATACTGCATGCATACTTTCAATATTATGCTTAGAGCAATGTCATAATTATTAATTTACTGTGAAATCCTTGAAAACGGGATCACATATTATTCATCTTTTCATCCTCAGAAACTAAGTAAGGGCTTGAGATAGAGAGCAATAAATGGTTATAGAATTAACAGAAATTACATGTGCTATGTGCAACCTAAATTTTAATTTTACATTTGACAAATCCGGGTAAGGGGTTAAAGAGAGTTCTTTGTACTATCCTTACAAGTCTTCAGAAGGTCTGCAATTTTTTTTTTAAAACACACATGCACATGTCCGACAAGCCCTTATTTGGATCAAATATTTTTCTTCACTACAATACCACATAAAACCAGAAAGAGCACATTTAAAAAAAAAAAAAAAGTAGCTATATTGACCTCAACTATTAAAGAAAAAGAAATGATTCGAAATTTTAGGTGTTCAAATCTTACTACTTCTCTCCCCAATCTGTTATGTGAATTGTACATATATCACCTTTAGATACATAAAACATTATTTAGTTATCACTGTTACAGACAGTGGTGAAGATTAAGACTTTAGACCTCGATTCCTTAAAACTAACACTAAGCAGAAAATTTTACTAAAATAGTAATTTAAAAAATCTTATAAATTGAAGTTGTTTTGCCATAAGCTGCCCAATTAGTGTTAAACTAATCTATTACGGAAAGGTGATCTGTTTTTGTCATATAATTGTGAAAAAATGCATACAATTCTACACAGCTACAATTCAGTAACAGCTCAATCTAACAGTAGTTTGTGGGCCGCCCATAATTTGCAAGGCGCTGTGCTGTGGGCCGGGTCTTCAAATTCTCAAGGTGTGTAGAATGAACAACTCAGAGAGAGAACTGGGGCTCCATTAAAAAAAATATTTCGACAAGTCCTAATTTTGTCTCGACAATCTATTTATAGGAAAACTGGATCTAGAAGTCTCTAAAACCTCCTAGAAACATTTTAGATTTTAGTAATCAAACTTCCTGAATATCAATTATTCCACCTGCAAAACGGTCAATCATAAATCAAATTCAATATGCAGTCATTTATGTTAGTTCAAATGTATTCCAAAAATATGGAATTTGAAGTACTTTTAATCAAAGAAATCATGATGTAATTTCTTCTAACAATATCACCAAAGGTGAAAACTACATATGTCTTACTTATTCGCCCTCACCCTTCGCAGGGTCCTACCCATAGAAGGTAGTCAACAAACATTTGTGAGAAGAATTTAATTTCAGAAACTTGGTCTTACCTCATTTCTCTCATCTACATCTTTGCATTTTTCCAGAAGAGCTTTCAGAGCATGAATGTTCTCTTCTTCTACATAATTTATGACACTCTGTGATATCAGGACTGACATTTTCACAGAAACCTAATTATCTTTATTCCAATACCTGTTAAAAGCGGGTTAGATAAAATACACATAATTTGTGATTAGGAAAATAAACTAACCTTAACTTGTACAAATATACCTCCAGCAGCAGGAGTGGAGGCAAAGCCCCCTAGCTCAGCTGTCAAAATGCCTGCCCCTCTCTTTCCAAGATTCATACTCATCTCAATCTTTTAGTCATTTTTAAAATTTATTTATTTAAATTTGTTATGGCGACATTAGTTAATAAAATTATACGGGTTTCTAGTGTACAATTCTATAATACATCATCTGTATACTGCACTGTGCTCACCAAAGTCAAATCTCCTTCCGTCACCATATATTCAGCCCCCTTCACTCTGTTCTACCTCCCCCGCCCCTTCCCTGTCGTAACCACTAAACTGTCATCTGTGTCTATGAGTTTTTGTCCTGTTCATCTGCTGCTTTCCGTTTTACATCCCACATGAGTGAAATCAGGTGGTTCTCAACCCTTTCCGTCTGACTTATCTCGCTTAGCTGATTATCTCAAGATTTACCCATGCTGTCGCAAATGGCAGGGTTTCGCTGCTTCTGATGGCTGAGAACATACGTACAATGGAATATTGCTCAGCCGCTCATCTCGGTCTTAACTCCAACTCCAGATCCAACCCCCACATCCTCCCCAGATTAAAAAAAAGTGCTCCACTGCCCCTCCTACTGCCTCCTCCGCCTCAGTAGACGCAGCTCCAGCTCCATCTTCCAAGGCTGAACCTCGCAACTACCTATGACTTACCTCATCCTCTCAAACTCTACATTCGACCTCACAGTAAATCCTTTCGGTTCTATCTATAAAATACATTTCACATCTGGTTACTACTCACCACCTCCCTCACGACCACCCTGATCCGAGCCACCGTGACCTCTCACCTAGACCACAGCTGCTCCCCCTACTTCCATCGCGCCTTCCCCAGTCTGTCCCCCATAAGGCAGCCTCAGTGATCTGAAACCGACACGTGCATCGGAATCACCTAGAGGCTTTGTACAGCACAGGTGCCCGGGCCCTGCCCTCAGACGACCTGACAGCAGGTCTGGGTGAGGCCCCGCAACCTGCATCTTTAACGAGCTCCCAGGAGATGCTGCTCCAGCAGCTGCTGGCTGAAGAGCCAGGTGGGATTACATCCTTCCTTGCTCAAGGCCCTCCAATGGCTTCTCAAAGCCCTTGAGGTAAGATCCAACGTTTCACCTGGGGGTCTTGCACCAAACGTGCGCCTGGCCGCTCCCTCAGCGCCCTCACGTCCTTCAGTCCCCTCATCAGGAAAGTCTAACCCGACCATCTCATTTAAATAGTAACAGCCTCACTCACGCAGTCCACGGCGAGTCCCACACTTCCATCCCGTGCCCTAATTTACCTTCTCCATGGCACTTACCACCATCAGAAGCACAGCAGATGTGTCCACCTACCACAACTAGAATGCAAGTTCCTAAAGAGTAGGGACTTTATTCTATCCAATTGGACATCCAAATGCAAATAAACGAACCAACCAACCTCAACCCACACCTAGCACCAAATACAGACAATACCATGAAACTGACCTAAATGTAATATCGAAAAGCACAAAACTTCTAGAAGAAAACATAGCCTATTTTGGATTAAGCAAAGATTTCTTTGCTTTAACACTAAAAGCATGGTCCTTTAAAAAAACTGATAAATCAGAGTTCATCAAAATTCGAAACTTTTGTTCTGTTAATAAAACGGCGAGGCACCGGCGACTCCTTTTTCTCCACCATTTTCCCCTCTTGAACAGGTGTGTCTACACCCGGTACCCCACGCCTGCCCTCTCCATGTATTTTCTAGTACGGAACCTTTTTCTTGAGGTTCATAGGTTCACAGATGGACAGAAATCGTGCCTATTCCCGTACCCAGAGCCTCACTCAGGCCTGATTTAGATAATGGGAATTAGAACTTTTGAGCTGACACGATTCGAGTGAGATTCCGGACGCCGAGTTGATGTGTAATGTGCTGAGACTGTGGAAGGCCTTGGGCTGGGGCGAACGTGGTTTGCATGTGAGACGGAAGTCCATCTCTGGGGCCGGAAGGCAGAAACTATTGTACTGTATGATTCTACTGATGTGACATTCCAGAAAACGAAAACTACACGGACAGAAAACAGAGCAGAGGTCGCCGGGTTTAAGGTGGGGGGTGCAATGACTGCGACCGGGTATGAGAGGGTGTGGGGAGTTCGGGGACTGCTGTATATATACCCTGACGTGGGGGCGCTTACACAACTGTATGACTTTGTCAAAATTCAAAACTGAACACAAAACTGAGTTTATACTGTATGTAAATTGTGCCTTAATAATACCTTTTTTTTTTTTTTTTTAGGAAAGGCAACCCTTGGTTGACCCCAGATCAGCATTAAAGTTATACCAAGAATTAAGTTTGCTTCATGCCAATGAGCTGCTCCTCAGCAGGGGCTGGTTCTGCTATTTGAGGACTGAAAACCACTCTGTCGTGTACACAAGAGAGCTGGATGGCACAGACAGAGTCTTTCTCATCATTCTGAATTTTGGAGAATCATCACTGCTAAATCTAAAGGAAGTGATTTCAAAAATTCCCACAAGAGCGAGGATAAGGTTAAGTACCAACTCTGCCAACAAAGGAAGTGAAGTTGATACGCACGCCATTACACTGGACAAGGGAGAAGGACTCATCCTTGAATACAACACAAAGGATCTCCTTCATCTCCAAACAGACTTCAGAGACAGATGTTTTGTTTCCAACCGGGCATGCTACTCCAGTGTATTTAACATACTGTACAGCTTGTGTTAGACACCTCTATAAAAGAGATGAAGACACTGGCTTTCTGTCCTGTTATAAGCATCTGGAGTAACTTCATGTACACCCATGCTGCTGGGTAAACTTTATCAACAGTCATTAATTATTAGATATTTCTGTAGCTTGAATGGCATTGCTTTTAGGAAAGGTTGTCAAATGTTTTTAAAGAATAAAAAAATGTCTAAAGGAAATTATCTCTTGTAGGAACTTGTAACTTTACTGAGATGGCATCAATAGAGATGATCGTAACAGATTCGAAAGACCTAATGAATTTTAATGTGAAGAATGTTCTTATTCACAAAATGCAAGCACAGAAACTAGAGGATGATTTACCACCAAAGTGTCTAAAAATGGTCACTAGCAGGGAGGCAGGACCCTGATTTGTAAACTGTTCAAAAAGATCTCAGTAAAAAAGGCAAACACAACGCTGTT